TTCCAGCACCCACCACCTCCCTTATTTGTTATTTACAGTCATTTTTACAGTCACCCACCTAATTTGGACACCTCAGCATTACAGACAGTTTGCTTTGTCCCTGGGGAAAGGAATCCCTAACATTTTCTTCAAATTCACTCCCATAAAATGGACAACCCGTTATTAAATACGGACACTTTCTGTGACCCCTCAGTGTCCATATTATCGGGATTTGAATGTATAGACAATATGAACTATACTACTATATACTGGGTCTCCTGTTTCACTAATTCTCAGAAAGTAAAAAAAATTATGCACTTAATTTCCACCAAGTGAAACTCTGCAACTGCACCTTAAACTCCATAAACACTGCTTCCGTCACACTTGACTATACAAGGTCAACGTTAAACTCTCTTTGCCTGTGAAAGCTAGTTAATACCTCGTCTGGACTCATCTACTTATAAACTTACACAATAAAATTCTAGAACCTTTTTCAAATAGTCTAATCATAAAATGATTACAAAATAATTATATGCTGTAGAAAGGCTTACACAAGATCCTAAAATAAAATAAAAAACTATGAACTCATGCAAAGCTTCTAGAATGTCCGCTGATCACCGAAAAAAATTTTTTGTAATACCCTTATGCCCTAACCAACACGGCTCACGCATGCTCCATTCTTGAAATGATTCTCTAAAACAGTTCAGTTTTCTTTTTTGTTAGTTCAATAACCACACAACAGTTCAATAACAACACCAGTAGTTCAATAACCACACAACAGTTCAATAACAATACCAGTAGTTCAATAACCACACAACAGTTCAATAACATCACCAGTAGTTCAATAACCACACAACAGTTCAATAACATCACCAGTAGTTCAATGACCACACAACAGTTCAATAACAACACCAGTAGTTCAATGACCACACATTAGTTCATTGAGCGTAAACTACATCTAGCTGCGGAAAAAATACCCACAAATACGTTAGATATTTTTTGTAATTAGAATGTGAAGCATTAAGTAAAAACAGAGAGGGATGTGGGTATCATGGTTGTAAAACCCCGTCATACTTCATTATAATCTTCATCACATTTATTTATTTATTATCTTCATCACATTCATTCATTCATTTATTTACTTATTTATTTATATTTATTTATTTTTTGGCTGCCTGGAATAACCATGGAGGTCTAGTGGAGCCAGGCAGCCAGTTGATAATGGTAATAAGACTGAGTGGAGTCCAATTCGGTCTGTAATCAAACGAGTGATAAACAAAATCAGACGACCGCGTCGCAGGAGTCCGATTTGCTTAATCACGAGTAGAGTAGCGCGGGAAAATGCCACGACGTGTTTCCCTGTGTGGCCAGTTACACAGCGAAGTGACGTAGAATTAACGAAACTGACCAATCGCCAAGCCACTTAACGAAGCAGTAATCGAGGTGATTACGATTATCCAAAGAGAGGCTATCGTAAGTAAAATGCAACAAAGGGGATTGCTCTGGCCAATCACAGGAGAGGCAATTAATTAAATGAACCAATCAAAATACAGAGTAAAGACTTGGAGGTGACAAGCGCGGGAAAATGCTACGACTTGTTTCGCTTTTAGTTGCTTGACATGTGGCCGGTCACAGCGTTGAGGCGGGAAATTTGCCGCAGGTGCGAAAAAACTTAATTACTAACTGGTGAACAAATTTTGATTATCTTGAGTGTGTTTTGCTCGTATTTGATCTCAACTTTATTTTGTGTTTGTAAAGGTGACAAAAAGAAAAGGAAGAAGTCTGGGAGTGACCCTAGTACCTCATCAAATAGCCGTTCATCGACCCCTACGATTGCTACAGAGGGCAGTGCTAATACCATTGCTGCCGCTGCTACAAAGCTGGGTCAGGACAGACCAGGTACTCCCTGTAAGTATATCCCAACTGTTTTCCGGGTACGTAGATGCAATTGTATGGACTGACCGTATAAATGAAACCTATTTAGCAAAACCTTCGTCAGGTACTAGTTCTTTCACAGTATTTTACAAACTAGCATTTTGGCTGTTATGCTAATTGCCGATCAGTTTCATGTTCCCCGTGTTGAAACAATTTTTTGAATTGCCTGGGTTTTTGTAGCAAAATCAAAGAAGCGCCCAGCAAGTGCAAGTGAAAAAGGTACCCCAGGCGAAGAAGGAAGTCCAGCAAGCAAAGAACCTCGTGTATCCCCGGCACCTTCCGCGGGAGGGGCAAGAGGAGGCTCAAGAACAAGCACCCCAACACCGACCGGTAGTGAGGAAGGCCCTCAGGGAATCACTGAAGAAGCCGTGAGAAGGTACCTCACAAGAAAGCCCATGACCAGCAAGGACCTTTTGCAAAAGTTCAAAAGTAAATGAACGGGCCTGTCAAATGATGAGACCGTGAAAAAGCTTGCTGCTATTGTTAGAAAGATACAACCCGAACAGAAGACCATCAAAGGGAAACTTTATCTGTCGCTTAAACCACAGAGCCGAGATGGTCTGAGAGGTCTCTTGTTTCGTCCCATCCTCGCTTAATCTTCACGTGCGCGCCTGATTAAGTCGCTTTAATAATAGATCTTTTTACCTTGGGTTGTGTGTTGACCCATTCTTAGTTAAGTAAAAAAAACATCAGCGTTAATTGCAAGTTATGGGTCATTACTACTAATAGAACGTTTTCACTCGCGTAGCCAGCATCTATGGAAAATTCATTGGAACAAAAGAAAGTGTTTACATAAGAAAAGAGCCGACTCGTACCCAGTCGCTATTTATGTGTTTNTGTCTGGGTTTTTGTAGCAAAATCAAAGAAGCGCCCAGCAAGTGCAAGTAAAAAAGGTACCCCAGGCGAAGAGGGAAGTCCAGCAAGCAAAAAACCTCGTGTATCCCCGGCACCTTCCGCTGGAGGGGCAGGAGGAGGCTCAAGAACAAGCACCCCAACACCGACCGGTGGTGAGGAAGGCCCTCAGGGAATCACTGAAGAAGCCGTGAGAAGGTACCTCACAAGAAAGCCCATGACCAGCAAGGACCTTTTGCAAAAGTTCAAGAGCAAACGAACGGGCCTGTCAAATGATGAGACCGTGAAAAAACTTGCTGCTATTGTTAGAAAGATACAACCCGAACAGAAGACCATCAAAGGGAAACTTTATCTGTCGCTTAAACCACAAAGCTGAGATCTGCGCGCGTGAAGGTCTCTTGTTTCGTCCCATCGCTTAATCTTTACGTGCGCGCCTCATTAAGTCGCCTTAATAATAGATCTTTTTACCTTGGGTTGTGTGTTAACCCATTCTTACTTTAGTCAAAAAACATTAGCGTTAATTGCAAGTTATGCGTGGTTACTACCAATAGAACGTTTTCACTGACGTAGCCAGCATCTATGTAAAATTCATTGGAACAAAAGAAAGTGTTTACATAAGAAAAGAGCTCAACTCCCACAAGAATTGCTCGGAACACCAACATAGCCACCATGTTACTGTTTAGGAACACCAATATAGCTTCCGTGACGTCATTTGAACGTTCTATTACGCATGCGCTTTCAAGCCAAGAATGCTCGTCGCATGGGCAGTGCGTTTCTATTGAGCCAGTACAGTCAAACCCCGTTAATACGGACACTGAAGAAGCCATATTAGGTGTCCGTATTAAGTGGCTTGACTGTACAAGTTCCTGATCGTATCCCGGTACAGATCACGACTGAAGAGGATCTCTTACCAAAAGACCTTTTAGACTGTTCACAGTTCCCTATTCTCCCGTAAGATTGTCGAGACCGAGCACCTTTTAAAATGTACTGAGGGGTGGGCGTTGGGTTTAACCGTCCCCCACTTCCTAAGTGTATTTGATACTCATCCCCAGGCTATACTCGGTAAGAAGGCGAATGTGAACAGTTCATAAACCTTTTCGCATTCCATTGTTCCATTCCAATGAAAAGAGCTTAGGATAAGATTTCATTCAAATCACTGTATTTTGTCAATAGACCTTTTAGACTGCAAAACAGTCGTACTTTTCTTAAAATCGGTTTTGCAAGGTGCGAAGCGCTGGCATGATCAATATTTTCGTGTTAAGCACGTGGGCTTCACACGCCCATGGGGCGCGTGTCTCTCTCCAGTCTCACTCTCCGTTTGCACCCTCACTCCAGACCTTTCCTTTGACTGCTCGCGCGCGCGTTCGCGTGCATCCACGTGTATATGTGTGCATGATTTATGCGACACAAAAGGTAAATTCCGGGATTGCCTGATCTGAAAACAAACCATCCAAGCTAAAAAGATCTATTCAAGGCACAAGTTGGTAACTTCCTTCACAGGAATGGGGGAGTGATCTATCTTTAAGTCATGCCACAGGCCCACCATCCGAAATGTTTGAGGCATCGTGATGTGCGCGCGCTATTTGATCCCATACCGGTCATGAGGGTATCTTGTCTACACACCTTATGCTTAGTAGATGTCAGTACTCGATATAATTAGATAAACTGCCTCGTTTCTAAGCGTCTCGTCTCAAGTGTGTTCGGCGAACAGAAAACGCGACTACTAGCGATAGTATCGCGCAGTGGACAATGGGAACGTTTAGCGTTGACGCAAAGGAGGCTGGGAAGGGTAAGCGAGATAAATCAGTGTCTTGGTAGCCTGCCTACTCGTAAAATACTAAATACCGTATTTGTTCGATTACGCGCCCTGGGCGCTTATTAAATTTTTGGACCTTGAGAGTGGGCGCTTATTAAATTTTCACCATTTTTAGCAAGTGAAGTATGTTTATTTTGCAACAAGACAATAAAAGCTAATAACAAAACGCGAAGAAGTAACAAAGCAAGGTTTCTGTAAAATACTCTGAAGAAAACTCCGTCCTCGGGAAAGTCTCTTATTAGAATTTATTCATTCGGGTGGGTGGGGTGGGGGTGAGGGCTTATTTGAGTTTGATTGGGAAGAGAAGGGGGTGGGCGCTTATTCGAGGTGGGGGCTAATTCGAGGTTTGGCGCTTATTCGAATAAATACGGTAACAGCAAGACGAACTGTTGTGAATCAAAACCACGGAAATATGGCCATAAAATAGATCCTTTATTGACCAAGCTTCTTCGGTCAAGATAGCTGGATATTGGCGTCGTTCTTTTTTTATTGGCCTCGACTCGTCTCGGTAAACAAAATGCTAGACTTGCTACAAGTCGACCTCTCATAAGTTCTGAAAAGTGAGCGAAGACGAGCTTCAATGCATGAGGTCCCGCAGCGACCGAAGGAGCGACGAAGTCTCTTGGCATAACCAACCAGGAAAAAATAAAGGACTTCTAGAAAGTCTAGCAAAATGCAAAAAACGGAATTTGGCCATATATCCAGTCATGCTGACCTCACGCTTGGTCAGTAATGCATATTTGAAAGGTATAATGATGAACATAAAAACAGTCGTCATACCTTAAAACATTCCGCTTTCGTTTTGACAGCCTGCTTCCCTTCGTCATTCCAGCGGAAGCTCAATGATAGCTCATAAAGACTTGTTATCTTCGAAATTTGCTGCCTGAGTCAGGAGTTCCAAACGGTAAGAAAAATAATGCAATAAGCAGCTGTGTTTCTACACGCGGTCAAAAAAACCTTTCATTTGTGTAAGTTACATGATGGGATTGAATGATGCGGGAAGCTTCCTTGTCGTTTATTCAAATTATGAAACTGACCAAAAGAATTAACGTCGAGCGGAGACTTTCGCAGCAAATGGTAACGAATGACAGCATTTTTGTGACCATTTTTAACTGTGTCGGTAAACTATTCAAGCTGCCGAAGTAAGCTCTGGTTTTGGAACGGTCTGGAAGCAAAATGAAGTGAAAACATTTGCTTCGACCTGCGGCAAAAGTTACCAACGTAGAGCTAGTAAAAAAGAACTACTGCGCACTTAGATTAAGTGGGCTTGATGTAACTTATTGACGTCAACTCTCTTTAGATCTTTGTAAAACTTCTCAAAAAGAAAGCAAAAGCCATAAGCTTTATGTTCTGATCGTTCGTTTACCACCGAAACTCTATAATATTCATAGAGAGTCTCTACAGGTGAAGCATGACGGACTGTTTTGCATCGTTATGTCCTACAAATATTCGGCCTTAGTTTAGTTAAAATATTTATTGTGTAAAGTAAATCCTATTGAATTGGAGAGGGAAACTGAATATAAAATAGCCTGTATAACAGGCGTCTCCCCCCCCCCCTTTTTAGGCGAGTGAGAATATGCGCGAGAAAGGGCTTTCACCCGTCGCACGTGTCTCGCGCTCCACGCACGTTTTGTGCCAAAAAGAATAGCTGCTATTCCGCAGGGTGCAAATATAGGAGTGGCAGTAAAATAGGGAGAAAAAATTAAAGGTTATCTAATGAAAAGGACATAAAATTTAGCCCTAAGACAGTCGAACCTCGCTAATACCGACACCGAACGGAAAGAGCAAAGTGTCCGTATTAGAAAGGTGTACGTTTAAAAGAGGTCACTACGATGACGTCACTTTTATTACTCCACTTACAGTTTTATAGTGTTCAGTAGCTAAAAGCAGCTTCACACTCGTCTTTAAACTGCATTTAAATTTATTAATTCACGGTACAAACAGTAGCATACAACATTGTACATCTCAGCTACAAAGTACAGTCGTAGACAAATCACTGTTTTAAAACGAGCTACAGCGCAATACTGAATGTAAAAAGTTGTAACGTAAAGCAGATTCTGAAAGCGTCGTTTGCTATTTTGCAAGTGCAGTAAACAGTAACTACAGTACAAAATGCAAAAGAAAAGATCTTTATGCTATCTCTATTTTTTCAAGACTTATCAAAGTTGGTTATGTTCCTCTGTGTATACCTTTCGCAAATCGTTGTTTGATATACAGCGACTGGGCTTTTGAAACCACCTGGCATAGCTCATCAGCCAGACGGGATTCACCCTGTGCAGATTCACCTGATCGGGATTCGCGATTCACTTGATCACCGCAGTGTCCGTTGTAAAGAGGTTAAGTTTATATGTCGAATTTACTCTCTAGAGCCGAGAGCTAGTGTCCGTTGTCCGTATTAGAGAGAGTCCTTATTATAGAAAGAAAATATAGGAGAACTTTGTTGAGACATTGGAAACTGTCCGTAATAGAGAGGTGTCCGTATTGGAGAGGTGTCCGAGACTTTCGAGAAAAGCGCTCCCCTCTAACTGCCTACCCATTGTCAGAGCTGGCTCTAAACGTTATACTCGGTTTGGGAACCCATTACCTCGTCCAAGTGAAGTCAAACTATTTTTTTGAGCCTTTTTTTTATCTTCACTTAGCAGTTACTACTGACACTGAATAAGTTTGGATTAATTTAGGTTTCTGGGAAACTGCCCACCTACCCCTCCCCTACGCCGTCATTTGCGCTAAGTGAGAAGTAAGTGTTAATGTTAGCTTAGGGGAGGGGTAGTTGGGCAGTTTCCCAGAAACCTTAATTGATCCATAAGTTTTTAGGCAGAAATACATTTATAAACTCTTGTGGTTCGCTTCAAAACGGTATCCGTTTTGAGACTCTAATGGACTGATCCGTTTCTATGAGACCAAAACGACTAAACTACCATATCGCTGTGGTACACACCAATATAGCTTGCAAAGGATATTACCCCCGGGTATGTTGTCACTAATTGCAGAGAAAATCTTTCCCCAAAGATTGAAGCATCAGACGTACATCAAATATGGCATCTTCAAAAGAATATACCGATGAACAGCTAAACTATTACAAAATTTGTTATCTAACTACTGATATACTAGCAAATTTGGGTCTCGGTCATGCCCTGACATGCTTGTGTTGGGAAGTCAATGTTTTTACTTCATAGACCCTGTTATCTACGACACTGATAATTTTTCCCCCTCCAACCTAATTTGCTAATTGCAGGATCAATTTTCCTAAAAGGTTCCAAGCATCAGAGGTGCATCAAATATGGCCTCTTTAAACGAATATACCGATGAACAGCTGAACTATTACAGAATTTGTTGTGTAACTACTGATGTACTAGCAGAGGGTCTGAGAGAAATATTTAAACAAGAATGGGACAAACGGTACAAAACAACAACAGGAGAGTGGAAAGACGAGCCTCGTAATGGAATGGACCTTTATAACGGAGAGTCTCCTGGAAATCAAAAACGAAATGCTCATCTTTTGAAGACCATGAAAAACGGAAACAGAGTGGAATGGGATTGTACAATGCTGTTTTACGCCATCCTTTTCTCTGATTGCGTCGGGACAGGTCTTAGCGCACTGGTCAGAAAAAATGTAAATGATCTACGAAAGTTCAGGAATGAAGAATTCGCTCACATGCCACAAGGTAGTCTTCCTGAGATAGATTTTCAGAATGCTATTAGCAAAGTTGATGTTGCGTTTCAAGCGCTTAGTCTTCCCACTGTAAAAATTCAAGACCTAAAATGTCAAAAAACATTTCCAACAAAAGATTTAACAAAGGTCCTGAAAGAAGTTAATAATCTGAAACAAGAAGTTCAGGTCCTTGAAGATCAGCTCCAAAATGAAGCACCCTCATTCTGTGTTCTCCCTCCTAAACCGTCGCATGAAATCGGTGGTCGTGAAAGTGAAGTAGCCAAAATAGTCCAACAGCTGAGGGAACTAAATGAGTCCAGTGGCAACAGGTTGAGTTATCTATACATCTCAGGGAATCCTGGAAGCGGCAAATCACAGCTAGCTGGCCTCGTAGCTGAGAGATTCTTTGACCACCTCAAAGAAATGCCAGGTGGCTCCTCATTTATAATGACCTTAAATGCTGCAAGTCCAGCTTCACTTCTGGAGTCGTATGCCTCATTTGCTCGCCATTTAAAGTGCCCAGACTATTCAGTTATAGAAACCCTCAACTCCAAGGACTCGACCGTGGACGAAAAGATCACTAGTCTTAAGATGCTTGTCGCAGTAAAAATTAACTGTTACACGTCGTGGCTTCTGTTGGTTGACAATGTCACTACTCTGTCTTCAGTGCATGTCCATTTACCACAGTTTGAAAACGAGGCTTGGGCAAGGGGCCAGTTGCTGATTACGACCCAGGACACAACATCAATTCCCTCGGAAAGCGCTTTTGTTAATCACATCTCGGCAAGCAAAGGTATGGATTTCAATGACGCCCGTTCATTATTGTCCAAGCTTTCTGGTATCCCAGATAGCGAACTGGTGGGAACAGTAGCACAAAGACTGGACTATCAACCTCTTGCTTTAGCAGGCGCTGCCGTCTTTGTTAAAGAGATTCGGCAGGACAAAGTATCAACGCATTTTGGGTGGGAGGAATACCTAAAGATCTTGGAAAAAGGGAAAAGACACAAAACGGAGGATGCACTTGTCGACACCAATCCAATTTATCCAAATTCAATGACCAAAGCAATAACGTTAGCCGTTGAAACACTAATGAGATCCGACAAATTTCAAGAACATCTTTTCACTTTTCTTGCCCTCTGCGCTCCACGACCATTGAACGTCGACATAGTAGCTAGTTACATCATGAACACACATGAAGAGTTTGATGAAGCGGACAAGGAAATAATTCACATGAGATTAAAAAGAAGCTCACTTCTGCTGTTCCAAGATGAAGAGGGTGGCTGTTTTATTCGACTTCACCAGGTTGTGCATGATGCTATAAAAACTGTAACAGAAGAGTGTGCAGAAAGCCAAATCAATGAGGTCGTAAGTGGGGTCATAACATCATTTGACGAATTTATCGGGGCGACTCTACCAGAAAAGAAGAGAGTGGACACCAGACACATCGCTCCACATTTGAAAGCTTTAACTATGGTAGCTGACCAAGTCTTTCTGCGAGATAATTTCTTTCAAGATCTTGATAAGGACATTTCCAAAAAATGCAAAAACCTTGGAAATATTTGTAAGATGCATTGTGAATTCGAAGGAGCAAAAACATATTCTGAATATTCACTCACTATTAAGCTTAAAGAGCTCGGCCCGAAACATGTTGATGTTGCAACAAGCTATACGAATTTAGCTTCAATTTCCCAAAATTTAGGTGACTTCGAGCAAGCCAAGGAGTATCAGCAACATGCTCTAGACATCGAACTGGACAAGCTCGGCCCGGAAAATGTTAATGTTGCAACAAGTTACAATAACTTAGCTTTGATTTACCAGGGATTGGGTGACTTCCAGCAAGCCAAGGAGTATCAGCAACGTGCTCTAGACATCGAACTGGACAAGCTCGGCCCAGAACATGTTAATGTTGCAACAAGCTACACGAATTTAGCTTCAATTTACGAGGATTTAGGTGACTTTGAGCAAGCCAAGGAGTATCAGCATCGTGCTCTAGACATCCAGCTGGACAAGCTCGGTTCGGAACATGTTAATGTTAATGTGGCAACAAGCTACAATAACTTAGCTTTGATTTACAAGAAATTAGGTGACTTTGAGCAAGCCAAGAAGTATCAGCAACGTGCTTTAGACATTTGCCTAGACAAGCTCGGGCCGGAACATGTTGATGTTGCAACAAGCTACAGTAACTTAGCTTTGATTTACAAGAAATTAGGTGCCTTCAAGCAAGCCAAGGAGTATCAGCAATGTGCTCTAGACATCGAACTGGATAAGCTCGGGCCGGAACATGTTAATGTTGCAACAAGCTACAGTAACTTAGCTTTGATTTACAAGAAATCAGGTGACTTTGAGCAAGCCAAGAAGTATCAGCAACTTGCTCTAGAAATCTATCTGGACAAACTTGGTCCGGAGCATGTTAATGTTGCAAAAAGCTACAGTAACTTAGCTTTGATTTACCAGAGATTAGGTGACTTCGAGCCAGCCAAGGAGTATCAGCAACGCGCTGTAGACATTTGCCTAGACAAGCTCGGGCCGGAACATGTTGATGTTGCAACAAGCTACAGTAACTTAGCTTTGATTTACCAAGGATTAGGTGACTTCGAGCAAGCCAAGGACTATCAGCAACGTGCTCTAGACATTTATCTAGACAAGCTAAGCCCGGAACATGTTAATGTTGCAACAAGCTATTGTAACTTAGCTTCTATTTACCAGGATTTAGGTGACCTCGAGCAAGCCAAAGAGTATCAGCAACGTGCTTTAGCTATCAGAGCAGATAAGCACGGCCGCAACAGAACACCAAATAAGGTAAGAACTGCTAAGAGACGCAAAAAACTATATTATGGAAATTATGTTTCTTCTTGAAAGATTTTACGCAGTCTTTAACTGCTTTAAGTTTTATCGTGTTGGTACTGTGTCTTTGAAATTTGTTAAAATTTAAAAGAATGAATTTTTCAGATTTTTTTTCACAGCAGCATAAGTTGCATTTAAACTGCAAGGATCGTCATTGTATTCTTTCTTCCGCAGGTTCGAAGATATGAAATTGATATAACCTTTAATTTGATAAACGGTTTACATAATATTTATTATGGAATTGATTTTTGGGACGTTCGGGTAAGACACCTCTTAATTCAGGTTTGACTGTAACAGTACAGTTTCCGTTAGCGCTCTATTCTTGCTTTCCGCATATTCAAGTTTCTTCTAATGAAAAAAACCTGTTAGTCCTTGCAGATTACTCATGAAGCTGAAAGGCATTTATCACAACCCAAGAAAGACGATGATGATGATGATGATGATAAAGGCAGTAGTAAGGAAGGTAAAGCAGAAATCATTGTTAAGTTTAAAATGTCTCCTCGTGCTAACTTGTAATCAAGGGCGTGTTTCTTTAGAAAAAATCCGGCGAGGTTTAATCCTTGCATAAACTCACAGTACAGTCTTTGGACTTGACACGTCAAAGGAAACGTGAGCAAAAACAGGGAGAGGGATTGTTCAGCGTTCCAAAAATATTTGAGTGAATCGCCTGTAACTCCTGTAAGAACGTAGCAGGCCTTACTCTTTTAAAGTGTAAATATATGTGTATTTTTTTCAGACCCATGCCCAAAGAAACTCATTGATTGAGAATATATATGCGGCCGGATCAGATTTAATCTATCATGAAATCTTTTGAGAGTATTGTTTTCAGTGTTAGTAGAGAAAGGCAGAATCCGCGTTTGGATTGTCTCAGATAAAGACAATGTCGGATTTTGGGTTGCTTATTCAAACAATTTTCAGACGGAGTTCAACACCGCGATTTATTAAACGCTATTTTCAATTTTGCTAACCCCAAGGCCTAGTAAACAATGTTTTTCACTTATGGTATCAAGGAGTTCGAGGCTTACAGCCCAGGCCGTAGAAAACCATTTATCCACTCAAAGTAAACGAGTTCAAAGCGAATCAGGTATTCCACTGATCCGAGATACAAAACATTAGGAGCGGTTATACTAGACTATTTCCCCAAAGCT